TGACTTGAGCTGGTGTTTTTGCTCCATTTTGTAGATGTTTTGGACTTAGAAAATTATACTAATTCTTCCTAAAACTTAGTCTTGGTCTTGGACCTCGGCCCGGGGCCTTTGGCGTGGGCGCGGCTCGAGTGGCTGGGTGAACTTCTCGATTTTTCGAGCGAGGTCCAAGGCTTGAATCTTGAACTTAGATATTTTACAACACTTAGAAAAATATTCTAAGTATTGCTACTAAAGTTCAGCTATGCTCGGAAATGACTTGAAATTCATTCGGATCGAGACTAGGGTCCGAGGCTAAAATTCTCGACTCAATTAACTATAATTTAACAACCCAAATTAATGGATTGATCTTGACTTAAACTTGACATCGAAATATCCAAAGAATGATCTATCCAACTTAGGAATTAATTGAGCATTTAGCATATAAAATATAACTTGGAATTTCTGAGAATTACGGATTTCACTTATAGTCGAGCAGTGAAACCGTTATTAATATTATTACTGATTTGGGGTTATTACATTCATCACTTTCTAACAATGTGGTGGCTATTTTTTTTTTCTTTGTTTATTGTGATTTTTTTTTCTTTTCAAATTTGTAGAGAAGGTTCACTAAAATATTATATTGCTCTTAAAGTACTTGATATAATATGCAAAACCTGGTAATTCCATTGGCTTATGGGACCTCCCAAAATCTAATGCAGCTTGACAATAAGTACCACAAATCTTAAGTATATTTTATTAGCAATATTTATCTCCCACATCACAAAATCATTTTTGCTACATTTTTTATTTTGGTGTTGGATATAGAACACTTTGAGTAAATATAAACTCAATTGAAAAATGACTATTTGTGATTATAAATTGGTTCATTAAAAGATATGACATGTTTGACCTATAGGAATGATCTTCGTGGACTTAATTTATTAATGAGTAAATTGCACCAAATCCCCATGTGTTATACGAAATAGGTGCGTTATTATCCCGTGTTTTAAAAAATGCACCAAACACCCTTATATTTAAGTAATTGTTGCACGATTCTCTCATTCCGTCCAACTTAACGGCGTGTGCACAACACCTTTTCCACCTGCAAAAATTTTACAATTTTTTATTTTACATAATTATTAATTACCTTTATACCCTCTTGAGTTTTATTGAACAAACTAAAATTGAACGTAAGGGAGGAATTGAACCCGAATCTCAAGGAAATGAGTTTGCCACTAAGCCAGTGGGCTATATAGATTCTTGTGTAAGAATTGTACACAACCACATTTATAATATCAGTTACAAATGAATTAATAAAATAAAATATAATAGGTAAATTTTAAAATAAAATAAATTAAATAATAATAACAACTTGCAATACATTAAACTAAAATAAAAAAAAAGTAAGATAAAACTTAATGTAATAACATGAATTGAAATTTAATAAATTATATAATTCTACTTATTAGAATAAAATTAATTATATAAATTTGGAAATGATTAATAGTAATAATAATAATAATAATAATAATAATAATAATAATAATAATAATAATAAAATTAAATTTAAAAATAAATAAAATTAAAATAATATAATTGGTAAATTTAATATACATTAAATAATAATAATAATAATAATAATAATAATAATAATAATAATAATAATAATAATAATAATAATAATAATAATGTAACTAGAAATTTACCCATTTATTAATTTGTTTGATTAATAAGAGACTAGTAGCCGTACATTACAAGGGTGTTAATTGAGAAAATTATACTAAATATATAATAAAACAATAAAAGTATTTAGTTTAAATTTTCAAATACTTATTTTAAAATTGCATTATTATTTATTAAAATGTCATTCGTCACGTAATACTCGTTCGTCCTGTATTATAATAAATTTTATAACTCATATCATTGACTAGGCTTGATAGATTAGATTATATATTTGAAAAATAAAAATTTTATTACTTTCCAATAAGGATTGATATATAGTTTATTTTCACTTTATAAATGTAAATATAATTATTTTATTTTTATATATGCAATATGGATGTCAAATATTGTGAAAAAAGAATTAATTGAATATATCATATATGACGAGTTGATAAAAATATAAATGATATTAAGTTTTAAAATGTATTTGTAATATTGACCGAGTGCTTTATAATATTAAGTATCCTAATAGGCATGTATAAATGTCCAAATCTACGTAGACTACTTCAAAGCACAAGAAATTGACACATAGTGTTGCGAAGCACCGGAAATTCACACATAAGATTACGATACACCAAAAGTTGATGATTAGACTTTGAAAACTCTAGATTTATATACAAGAGAGATGTGATATCAATTTGTTTCTGTTTTTGTTTTTATAAACAATTTTGCACACATAATTCAATATTTTCTTCAATATTTAGTAGGTTGCAAATTACTATAATGATTATAATATTTAAAAACCAGATTATTTGCATTTTTAATAAAGCAATTAAGGATTTGAATGGTTGAAGTTTCCAAAAGATGTGTTTGCCTGATTGTGGTAAGAAATTGGAACAATCACAATAAATGGAAATCTACTTTTTGAAATATTAATAATTTGATTCGGCATTTGCTGGGTGCAATATAAAATATTTATTATTCTCAGCATCTGTATTCGTGTATAAATTTGTGCTCCCTCCTGTAACAAGTCATCATCCCTTGTTCTCTGCCGTGTGCATTTTGCATCGGTCGTTACACAATATCACCTATCCATCTACTTCCTTTTCACTCTTTTATTTCTGAACCTTTTTTGGCATTCCCCTGTGTATTAATCTTCTACTGTCATGGCCCGATCATGGGACGAATTAAGTGATGATCATAAACTTGTGTTTTTACTAGAAAGCTTGCTCCAAAAGCAAGAACAGCAGACACCAATCGCTTGTCGTGCATGTGATGTCATCTTCTATGATAATAAAGCCCTTCTAAAGCACTTTCAGTGTCATTTTCTGTTGGAAAAATCAGTTATAAAATATAGGTTTGACCCGATTTTGACTGAATTTTTTATGGCTAAATATTTAATTTGTGTTGAA